AGTCCAACCGAAGCAACGGATTACTCACTGTGGAAAGCGACTATACGGCTAAACAGACCAACTTCGTTTATACCACCCATTCAAAAAAACTATAGAACATGGACCAAACCAGATGAGAAAAAAAAAGGTAACTTTCGCAAATCGTCTAAACGAAGTATTCAAACTACAATAAAGAATAATTTCTCAAGAAGAAACCTTACTGGAAGATCATAATTTTCACGACATCACTCCAACCAAATCAGTTAACTTAAAGAAAGTACTTTAAATAATTAATAATATATATTATAAAAAAGCCCGGGTTATGATAATATACAGAAAAAACGATTAAAAAGCTTCCTACAATAGCAATTAGATTCATAACTATAATATTTAATGCATGCTTACGTCTTTGCTATTTTCCTTCTTAATGAAAAGTTGCAGAGATTATTTTAATACCTAAACTCGGTAAAAACACTGAATTCGTGACTTCGTACAGATCGATTAGTCTATTGCCAGTATTTTCAAAAAGTATGGAAAACTTATACTAGCTAGAATAAACCCAATGGTAATAGATAGAAAACTTATCCCAGACCACTATTTCAGTTTTAGTGGTCATTATTTCACGATCGAAAAAGTGAACAGAATAGTATCAGTAATGAGAAAATCCAACAAAAATAAAAAAATACTAAACATGCATATTCCTAGACGTTGTTTAGGCGTTAGATAAAGTCTGGCATAAGGAGCTTCGACATAAGCTGAAGAGATATTTTCATAAATGCTACAGTGATTTACTACTACCTACCTACAATATAGAACCTTTAAAGTAAAAATAAATTAAGAAGTTTAAAAACGGCAGATATTAAAAACAGCAGTACCACAGGGTAGTATTTTAGTCCCAACACTATACCTGCTTTACATATCAGATCTACCAGAGTCTCCAAATATTCTAACATATACTGACGATACAGCAGTACCAACAACACATCAGAAAGAAAAATAACATCAGAAATATTACAAACTTGCCTTGATAATCATTTCTAAAACTAGCTATATTTATGGAGAATAATAGTAAACGAGAGTTAATTCACACCATATTCACTCTCCGTAAAAATACTTGTCCGTCTACTACATTAAAAGGCAAATAAATTTCGCAAAAAGACCATAACAAATACTTAGACATACACTTGGATAGAAGATTGATTTGAAAAGAACACATGTTCACAAATCGAAAACAACTAGAACTAAAACCGAGAGAGATGTGCTGGCTCATTGAAGGAAAATTCGAAATAACAACTGAAAATAAACTTCTACCTTAGAAAGACGTACTCAAGTTAGTCTGTACATTGCATTCAACTGTGGGGAGCCGCTTCGAATTCGAACATTGAAATTTTAGAAAGATTTCAATCAAAATTCCTACGTAGCATAACTCACGTGCCGTGGTTCGTTCCAAAAGAAATTATCTGAAAAGTTTTACAGATTGCATCAGTAAAAGAAGAAATTAAAAATTTCTTTGTAAAATACTTCATAAGATTACAAAATCACTCAAACAAACTTATTAGTAAACTTTTCTCGGAATCGATTACCAACACTAGATTCAAAAAACAAAAAATGATGAAAATTGAATCCCTCAAAATACAAAGATACAATACTAGAGTACTCTGCTGTTATCATGTAAACTTTTTCTGGTAAATAATAAAACTTACTAATTATCTTATAAATTAATTGAGTTAGAAAGCTTTGTGGTAATATAATATTTATAAGAATACCGAAATCGATTACGGCTGATCACCGGAATTGCACCGCATGGTGTGTGCACCTTCCGTTATCATATGCGATACAAAATACATTCGGTATTTTGTCAAATCGTGTTAGCGTTATTTTTTTTGTATTCGCGTCGAGCGTTAGTTCGCGGTAGAATTCGAATTTTCTCTCTCTCTCTCTTTCTCCCCGAACATAGTTAATTGTAAAATCCTATTCACGTGCGTTAGTCTTTCGGCCCTACAAAGACTGTAGTCATTTTTATTAATTAAAGTCTGTTAAATTTATTCGCCGTTTTCGTTATTTAATTTTCCTAATAGCTTAAGTAATTGAAAAAGGCTTAGGTTTTAATCTGATTACATCTAGGGGATTAAGAAGATTAGGAGTAATGTCGCTCACACTTAAAACTCATCGAGTGTCACAAGACACGTGACTTAAGGTGAGTTCAACTCCGTTTGATAGAAGACAACTAAGATAAATCATCTGACGTTAAGGCGAATACACGTACTATCATACGTGTTTAACGGAGCGGCGGTTTCCTCTGCATCGTGGGAGTTTGTTCTTAAATAAATTTTCCATTTTTCAGATAACCTCCCCCGTTACAAGAACAAAAAATCTGTAGTTTAAATTTGATTTTGAGAAAAAGAAATTATTTCGATTTTTTAGCATTTATTTTTCTATAATATTATTCTTGTTATAATATTATTTTTATAATGTATTTTTATAAATATTTTTATTTATTATGATAATTTGTTTAAACCTCTTAATCCAGAAATAATAGAGTATAATCAACGCCTCAAAAGGTCATAGTAACTATATAGAACTCGCAGGTTTGTTAGAAAAAGCGTGTTTTAATCAGAACAAATAATGAGTCAATAGAAAAATACTAAATTTTTCAATTGCTTTTGCCGTTATTCTGCATGATCAGCCTGCGATAAAAATAAAAACAAATATCCTACTCAAAAGGACAACAATCGAGGACATGAATACACTATTTCACAGTTGAATAATCTAATGATAAGACATCGAAAGTGTAAAAAGAGAAAACAGATCTGATAAATTCGTGTTTATGTGATTCTGATTGTATCATTGGAAAGAACGGTCCTAAAAATAGTTGGATAAATAGTTCTCAAATTTTTTGCGGGACTTTTTCATAATGAAATTTCTTAAAAAAAAAGGTAGATGAAAAAAGTGTCCTTGTGACATTAATGGGTTAAACTGAAGATAAATCGCATATTCTAATTTCAAAATATATCCGGCTAAAAGTATTAGTAGTTCACACATCGCATGAATGTGCGAGAGATAAAAGGATAGATAGATAGTTCTTTATCTACCATAAGGCAAAGTACAAATTAATACACGGGTACAGTGAAACACAAATATTTCAACTCAACTTGTCATAGTTTCATATATATATATATATATATATATATGAATTTTTGATCAAGAACTTATTCCAGTCAGATTTTATTAAGATATAAATGAAAATGAAAATAAAATGGAGTATGAAGCATAGTACAAAAATTTCCGAAGAAAGGGAAGAGAGAGAGAGAGAGAATGGTGGTTAAGCGAGCAGGTGCTTAACCACCATATGTCAATTATCTCACTTGTTTGTATGCTATTATAAATTAATCCAGTTACAAAACAAATGAATACCCCTAAACTCTGTTACTATCTTCAACATTAGTGGGGTATAATGTAACGGTCCTATCTATGAGCTATTTATTAGATTACTGAATTACCGCAACCAGTCGAATGAATCTATCTTGTTATTCAAATCAGTACATTAAGCGGCGCCATCTCACTGTTTACTCGATTATATATTAGTACACGAGTCGAATTTCATAATCAAAATAAAGAGCGTGACGTCACAAAGTAATAGATATAGATATAATGATCTTTGTTATTAAGAAAAATATGTTAATTAGAGATAAATTTGACATAACAAAGCATCTATTATATAGATTTTAGTACGTAGATTTAGAATATAATAATAAAAATGGTGTTTAATTATTGAATAATAATGAATTTCAATATGCAAAATTAATTTATTTGTTAAGCTAAAAATATAAATTATTAGAAAGGTGTAAATAATTTATATGTAACATGAATAAGTAAAGAACATGAGTAAGAATTGGTTTCATTAATAACAGCTGAATAATAACTGTTATTAATAAATAAACAAACAATAATTTATTTAAACAATAACTTGTATATAGAACGAAATCATTAATTTTATACTTAATAATGATAGCTATTTGGTTTATGAATCTTAGATAATTAATCTAATAATTGCGTTATAAGATTATAGGAAAAGCCGTTACAAATATGAAAATTTATTATAATTTAAATGTTATTTACTAATTTAAATATTTCTTTTTAGAAAATACTTCTGAAATTCATCAACTATAAAGTTATATAAAAAGTTAATAATTTTCTAATGTAAAAATTATAATATTACGTTAATTGACTTTATTAGTTAATAACTTTTGACGACACTAATTGCGATAATTATATATAGTATTAAATCAACAAATAACGAATTCGGTAAGGTTCACATGTATTAAAAGTTCATTATTAATGTTTATTCACTTGTAAATTAAGATAATTCATTTCTCAAAATTCGCGAATGTTTCTCGAATATTCGAAAACTTCTCGAAGAAAACGCTCTTGGAAAATAGGCGGGAAAATTTGTGTATAAATACGCCCACTATTGCACAGGCTGGCATTCACTTCTTGCCTTGCAAAGTGAGTGCATGAGTCTGAATAAACTTGGCTAATACCTAAGTTCTTTCTCTCATTGTGATTCACTAAACAAGACATTTCCTTTCCTATAATTCGAGCTCAACTTATAGAACATTTCGCGCTATAAGAAACTTGGGCCGAATTATATTCTATCCAAGAAAGACTTTAGCCCTGCTTATGGGACAATTCGCACCATAAGAAACTAGGGCATAGTCTGATTTTCCTTCAAACATTATACATATTCATTACATATTTGATTTATTAATTTGTTATTATTAGTGGAGTCTATTTCATCTATCTATTTATTTTCTTAACAAGAAGAGTAACTTTATTAGAAACAGATTCTTACTCATTAGCTAGATACGAGAGTTCGAATTATTATTTATAAGTGATACGAACATCACAATAAGAAAATTAGTACTGAAAATTAATTTTACTTGAAAATAACTTTACATTAGAAAAAAGCTAATTGTCACTTTTCGTTGAGATATAAAATATTACTTTAATTGATTAATTACCTTTTGCCTGTCCTCAAGTTCTTCTTTAGCAGCCTGTAGTTGTTTCAATTGTTCTTCTAATCGCCTGATCATTTCTTGTGCTTCGCTTAATTCTGCTTGTCTTCTTTCCATTTCTTCAGCCATACTACGGAGACGCTCTTCAAATTCTTGTTGTTTTTTTTCAGCTCGTTCACGGGCAGCAATTTCTAATTGTAATTTTTCACGCTGCTTTTCACGAGCAAGCTTTTCTTCTTTTGCTTGTGCCTGTATATTATATATGTATATATATATTTTTTGTAAAGGATTGTCCAAGTCCATTGAATTAGTTAAATAAAGATTTCTATTGCTTATTGATAAATTTATTTTGCTTCAATTAGTAAATATGTACAAAAATATTTAAGTTTTCAAATTTACAATTCATATTAAGGCGGGCCCTTTAAGAAGTAACAATTCTTGATTTTTTTTAAACTACTGATTTCTGGAAGTGTTTGTCACTGTGAATGGTCGATTCTAATCATAGAAACTCGTATTCATATATATATATATAACATAATAATTACCCAATTAACACACGATACGGTTGTTTAAAATTTTATTAACTTTCGCGTATAATAATTAATTCAATGTTGTCTATCCCAATTTTCGGATGAACGTAAAGTTATTCAAAATAATCTATTTTTACTAGTCAGGTAGTAAATAGTTGAATTAGAAATTAAGATATGGTAGATTCGAGCTTCACCGGGATCATTTTTTTAACGACGAAATATTCAAAATATTTTAAACGTTTTTTCGGATTAGGTCTGAATAAATTAATGAGTATGCATTTTCCACATATAAGTATTTATGATTTGCATTGTAGTACACACTTGATAAAAGAAACTAAAAGTAAAATATTTTTCAAAATAAGTTATAATCTTTAATCAAGTAATGATATGAACGTTTTATATGAAGATATGTTTTAAAATAAACACTTTATTTTCAATATGACTTTAAAAGTTAATTTGAAATAGGAAGTAACATTGTATCGGAACTTTGGTCTCATTGCAAATCATTTTAAAATGATCGTATACTATTTATGGAGTAGTAGGGTAGACTTTTTTAAATTAAACTATTATTGCATGAATCCAGTGTAAGCTACGAAAATTAGCGGATTATTAAAAATCCAAGCAAAATAAAAAGGCGGAATGTTCCTCTGTAAAATAAGAGCGACAGAACTCATTTTTGATTATGTTATACACAGATATAGCTGTTTTTTACAAAAAAAATCGTTTTTTTTTTTTCATCAGCTCATATCTCTATTGCTACGTATTAAATGAAAAAACTTTGAAGATAAAAGTAGTTTCTTTTTGGGTAAAGAATACAAAAATAAAGTGAAAACTTAGATCTGGAACAAAATTTTTTTTTTCCTTTTTTTACGCTAGACATTTTTTTTATTTTTCATATTCTTTATTTTTTTTTATATTTATTATGATCAAAAGTCTCAAACAAATTTTGAATAATGAATTTCTAGTTAATCTTAGTTTTCACTTAATTTTTGTATTCTTTACCAAAAAAGAAACAACTTTTGTCTTTGAAGTTTTTTATTTAATACATAGCGATCGAGATATGAGCTGATTAAAAAAAACCCAATTTTTTTATAAAAATCAGAAATGAGTTTTGACGTTCTTATTTTAAAGATGAACATTCCACCTTTTAATTTTGCTTGGATTTTTAATGATCCGCTGAGTTGCGTAGCAAATAAATAAATTTGTATATGGGCCTAAAAAAAAGAAATTTTTTCGATTTATTAATGATTCTCCAAAATATAATTTTACATAATTCATAATTATATTAATTTATGAACTCTATTTCATTAAATATATGTCTAAAATGACACCAACATGTCGAAAAATCGACGAAAAATTAAATAATTTATTCAATTTATATATGTCTGTAATAATATTTCTATAAACGTTTCATGTAACAGACACTATATGTCGAGAATTCGACACCACAAATAAAACACTTTATACCATAATAATATTTAAATGAATACATAAATATAATTTTGAACATCATGTCATTAATAACAAATAATATGACACCACTATGTCGTTTTGACGAGATCGAAAATTCAACATAAATTATATCTATATGTAAATTATATGTAAACTCAGGTAAATTTATGTCAATTATATATTTAATAGAATGATATGTTACAAATTACACAGGTTCACAAACTAAAAAAGTTCAGGATTATTTGACCGGACCACATAATACTTATGTATTTTGATGCACTGAATACGAATCCAAAGGTCTGTTAATCTCTATCACGTCAGATTCAAGGTCATTACAAGATCAACTTAGTTTATAGCAATGAAAATGAAAATTTAATCACGAATTGGAAAGATCAGTCAATTTTAAGTTCAAATACATATTCTTTGATTTTTGCAACATGACTCTTGGAGGTCACTTGGAAGTCAAACAAGTAACATATAGGCCAAATTTCTTATCGGCTCATTATTGGAACTGACATGTCAGTTGTCCTATGCACTTCAATCATATACAATCGTGTATTTTTGTATCCTGAGTGCAAACGTGGTATACATTTGATACCGTCGAGTCATAATTAAGATCATTTCAAAGTTAGTTTGTTCATTTTGCAAAAAACAAATATAACCTTATATCCTTAAACCCTAATTTCCTTAACCTTCAACTCCTACAACATTTACATGTATAATTTCAGACCATTACTTTCAATTTGCTTAACTATCGAGTACGTAACCTTTCTATATTGTAGATGTGATTTTCGTAACCCCGATTTCCTGAACATTCGAGTATGTAACCTTTCTACGCTGTAGCCCCGATCCTCTTAACCTCAATTTCGAAGTGAAACAGAACTTCTAAAAAATACAAAGGACGGCATCCGGCCAGCTACTAATCGTACTTTCCGCAAGGTAGAAGATCAGACTGGTTCAATCCAGAAGAAATTGGAAGAGGTGCTGAAGGATGAAGGTCATCAGCAAAACTCATGAAGTGGAAATACAGGTTAAGGATATCGAGGAGATGGCAACCAGAGAAGAGGTAAGGGACGCGCTGCAAAAAACCGTTAGCCATGACTACGGAATCAAGACTGAGGCGATAAAGTCGATGCGGACAGCATATGGGGGGGATCCAAATTGCCCACATCAGACTACCAGCCATGATCGTTCAAAAGATAATAGGAAACAGGGGCCAAATCAGGGTAGGCCTTGTCAACTGCAGAGCAAGAGGGGTAAATAAAATAGTCCTCTCAAGTGCTATAAGTGCTATAAGAACGCAGGGCACATTGCTAAACAATGAGGAGTGATGTAGATTGATCGAAGCTCTGCATGAAATGCGGGCGACCGGGGCAGAAAATTGCAGAGTGTACGAAAGAGGCATGCTACGTCCTGTGCAAGGAGATAAAAGGAGACGAGCACTGTAAGCATATAGCTGGAAGCTATACAGCCCACCAAGAGGATATCAGGAGGAAAGCAGTGAAAAAAAGATGAAAGTATTACAACACAACCTAAACCACTGTGAAGCAGCTCAAAGTTACTTGTACAAACAGCAAGGGAGCGGAGAGCCGACATAGCAATTATCTCAAACCCCTATAAGATACCAGATAATCAGGCGTGGATCGAGGATGCAACTGGAAAGGCGGCCATCTGGTACTGCGGGAACACCATATTTCAGGACAAGGTCAACAGCAGACAAAATGGTTTTGTTCGGGAAAAACTTGGAATTATCAACTTCTATAGTAGTTATGCCCCACCAAGCATGGAGTCCGACCAGTTCGTGAATTCTCTCGACAGCCTACTTAGAGACGTGAAGGAGCACGAACCAGCAGTTGTTGCGGGTGATTTTAATGCCTCGGCCCTGGACTGGAGTAATAAGAAGACAAACAAGAGGGGAAGTAAAATACTAGAGGCGATAGCCTTTAGAGGGTAGAGCTTCTCAATACAGGAGTGGTACCAACGTACGAACAAGAAGGGAGGACATCAATCATTGACCTGACACTTGTCAGCACCTGCCCCCTGAAATAGGTGAGCAACTGGAGGGATATACTTATCTACCTAGAGATATGTCAAGGCCATAGAAGCCAGCAAAAAGTAATGCTTCTGCGAGCTACAAGAAGAAGTGGAACAAGACCTATGGGGAAAACCCTACGAAGTAGTGGTGAAGCGGCTTAAAAAGCCAGAAACAAAGCTGCCAACCTGTACAGTATTGCTGTTGTTGCAAATAAAGAGGTTGAGACGCTGCTTCCTCAGCAACCTGAGCAGGAATTCTAGGTGGACGTGAATGTCGAACAGGAGATTCCACACGTTACGATGAATGAACTGATGAGAACCTGCAAAAAAGTAGGAAACTCCAAGGCCCCAGGCTTGGATGATATCCCGAATATAGCACTGAAGGTGGCTATCAAAACTGACCCGAACAAGTTCTTAAACATGTATTCCAGGTGTCTACGGGAGAGAACTTTTCCAAAAAGGTGAAAGAAGCAGAAACAGGTATTTCTTCCCAAAGGGAAGAAACCAGCGAACGAACTATCATCATATCGCCCCTCTGTATGCTTGACACAGCAGGGAAGATAGTAGAGCGTATAGTTCATGGAAGGATCAAGATGATATCGAAGAAATACCTATCGTGTAACCAATACGATTTCCAGAAAGGCCATTCGATACTTGAAGCTATCAAGCGGATAATCAGTAATGTTAGGTCGGCTATTTCTGGCAAGAGGTGGAAGGGCGGAGACATGAAGTACTGTCTTATTACTGCTCTGGACATCAAGAACGCATTCAACACGGCAAGATGGAATCGCATAATGGAAGTGCTAGAGGGAATGAATGTACCCTGGACCTGCGAAAGGTGGTGGCTATCTTTTTCACGACACTGCCGAGGACAGTAACACCAGTGGCGTTCGCTGATGGCATTGCCCTGGTTATCATTAGAAAATACAGAGAGGATTTGGTTTAGTGTGAATATTTTTTATGTATTTATTTTTTTTAGTGTGGTTTTCCGAAGGTACCAGGAATACTTAGGATATTTGGGACTAGAATTAGCAGAACATAAGACTGAGGCAGTCCTAATAACAGGTAAGAAGGTGATTGAGACGGTCCTTCTACAAGCCGATAGACACCAGATCATATCCAAAGCGTCCATTAGATATCTGGAAGTAATGATAGATGATCGACTGAACTTCAAGCAGCAAGTGGAGACGGTAACAGTAAAGGCATCGATAACTGGAAGAGCGCTAACGAGACTAATGCCAAATATAGAAGGTCCTAAACAAATTAGAAGAGCACTGCTGACGTCGGTGATCACATCGATCATCATGTATGGTATCGCATTATGGTCAGAAGCGTTGACGATAAAGAAAACTCGCAGAAAGGTGGACTCAGTTTACAGAAACAGCGCATTAAGAGTTATAAGCGCATTTCGGACGGTCTCCAAAGAAGCGGCAAAAGTTGTCACGGGGTTACTACCATTCGTGGAGCTAGCTGAAGAGAGAAGACGCATTTATCATCGAAGGGTACCGAAGCCAACCAAAGCAAGAAGGAACAGAGGAAAAGAAGCATCGATCGTTGGCAAGACGCCTGGGATGGAACAGAAAAAGGTAGATGGAACTATCGCCTTATCCCGAGTATTAAGAAGTGGTTACACCACACGCACGGCCAGGTGAACCATTATCTAACTTAGATGCTAACAGATCATAGATGCTTTCGAGAGCATAGCTGTATAAATACAGATATACGGACTCACCAGAGTGTTCGACCTGTAGAGGAACAAACGACGACGCCGAGCATGTCTTTTTCCCATGCCGAATGAAACGCAGCTGTCATACCTGATAGCATAATAGAATTGATGCTTTCCTCGGGGAAAGTATGGGCAGCAGTGACAACCTTCGCAACGGAAGTGCTACAAGAGCTATGACGTGAAGAACAGAAGAGAACGAGACTGAGGACATCAGATTAGAGGATCAGAAGAAGGAAAGAAGGAAGTGACTGAATGATGATAATGAAAAAAGTAGAGAACTCCTGAACCCCGTGACGCAGTTTTTTCATCAGGAATATAGGGAGACTTGACCAGGGAGCAGATAGCTGCTGACCCCAGGAAGTAGTATCTAACGGTAGTTCCCCGGGGGGCCAAAGGATCAGAAGAAAGAGGACTTCTGGCTTCGGCTTTGGCCGGAGAACGAAGGGATCTTTAGTCAGTATGACACATGGCGGTATTGGAAGTGAGGAGGTCGGAGAGGTGAATACTCACATGGTCATGTCCTAGGCCCACATCATAACCAATCTATTAGCCTTAAACGCACAGATTTTACCCTTCACCTCTTATAAAAAAAACCACACCCACGCTAAGAGCTGACCAACGATAATAACGTATATCCAAACTGTTAAGCAAAACCAACTTGCATTAAATCATTTTAGTATGTTTATAATGTATATGATATTCAAGGTGATGCAGATCATTTCAAGGTGGTTTCAAAAAAATGTTATTGTAAAAATGTTTTCCAGAAGAACTACGTCTACGTGGAACGTTGCAGAGGTACACTAGCTACCACCTGTACGCATTCATCTTGGTTTCGTAAGGTCATGAGAATGTAAACACACTTTATTATATTATTCATTTGTAACGTGATCTTCGTAATAACACCAGTACATTTGTTTCCACAGCAGCACATACCTACATTTTTATAAAAGGTCTTAAAGACCTTGTAAAAAGTCATATTCATAATCTATTAAAAATTAAATGAAATTTTATTTACAGATGTCTGTAATAATAGGTACCTATAATAAAATTGACCATTCTCAGTGAAGAACACTTCCGAAAACTCATCATTTTTAAAGCCCCATACAAATGTGTATTCAAGCAAATTTGATAAATTTTTATAAAAAATAAATTAAGATGTACTACTTATGGAGGACCGTTATGTACATTCATTTATTAATTATCAATAGTATGTTATCAGTGAACAACGATCATTTTAAGAAAATATAACAAACCTTCATTTGTTGAACATCAATAGTGTCAGGTTTACGTCTCCGCATATAAAGCTCATGATTTCCCATGCACAGTGCAAGTATACGCTTGTTAATTTTAACACGTGCAGCAAAAAATACAAAATCTGGTGCTTTTTTATCTATTGGTTTTATTATGAACTTTTTTTCATTAAACGAAATATTACGGATTTCGGACCAAGGAAACCCAATTTTAGGAGTGAGTTTATCATCCTTTTCATATATATTCAGTCCCAAAGCATCAACACCTAAGTAAAGTTCTGTACCTTTCTTGTTCCGAATCTCAAAATAATTAACACCATACATTTCTAAATCCTGAAACGATTAACATAAATTTAAAGAGAATCAAAATACTATATTTCATTTTATCAATGTATTAATATGTATTACTATAAAGTACTCGATTTGAATATATTCAATATTTTGGTTGAAGAGATTACGCAATATAACATAAACAATGGTGTAATCAATATTTAGGACAAAAAAAGTTTTTAAACTAGAAGAAAATGATGAAATGAGTATTGTTATTTTATAACTTACGAAATATAAAGTACAAAAAAATTATTCTGAACATTGCAAATTTTAACATTTAGGTCATAGTTATATATATAATTTTAGAAAAATTGTAAGATTTAAAATTTTTTTTTTTAGAGAATGGTGTGCAAATTTAAAATTTAAGGTAAACAATTATTCTTCAATAATTTACAGTTTACATAAAATATCATACTAAATGCTTAACATCATACAATATCTGTGATGATTTTCAACATTGTTACAAACTGAATATTCATTGAGAATAACGAAATTTCTTATATGCTTTTATAAAGGAATATACGAGGTGTGTTAAAAAAGTACCGAGAATTTTTAAATTTCGCGGGTTTGGAGAGTCCGCTTGTATAAAATTTTTTTTTATTATGTTGGTACACATGCCCCTGAAGTACGATAAAATTTTCAGCAATATTCATTGCTTACTTTTTAAGTGGCAGCCGCTAACGTTAGACGTGTTTTTCGAGCTCGGCGATTTTCGTTTGTGAAAAAAAATGGATCAAAGAATTTATATTAAATTTTGCGTAAAAAATGAAATAAAGTGTAATAAAGTTTGTCAAATGTTAACAAAGGCATATGGTGAGTCTGCTATGAGTAAAGCAAGGATTTATGAGTGGTATAAGCGTTTCCAAGATGGCCACGAAAACGTTGAAGATGATGAACGACCCGGACGCCCAAGCCATCAACAACCGATGAAAACGTGAAAAAAGTGAAAGAAATGGTTATGAACGATCACCGAATCACAATCAGAGAAGTCGCTGATGATGTTGGCATATCAGTTGGCTCATGCCATCAAATTTTTTCGAATGTTTTGGGTATGAAACGTGTGGCAGCAAAATTCGTTCCAAAATTGTTGAATTTCGAACAAAAACAGCGGCGAATGGAAGTTGCTCAGGAGTCGCTAAATGAAGTCAATAACGATGCAGAACTACTAAAACGTGTTATAACAGGTGACGAAACATGGGTTTACGGATATGATGTCGAAACTAAGGCTCAATCGTCCCAGTGGAGGCATTCTGGATCGCCAAGACCGAAAAAGGCTCGACAAGTGCGGACGAATGTGAAGGTTATGCTCACTGTGTTCTTCGATTTTAATGGCATAGTGCATTATGAATTCTTGCCACAAGGTCAAACAATCAATAAGCAGTACTACCTACAAGTTCAACGTCGTTTGCGTGAAGCAATCCGAAAAAAACGCCCGGATTTGTGGCAAAACAATTCATGGCTTTTGCACCACGATAATGCGCCTGCTCACACTTCATTGCTTGTTCGTGAATTTTTGGCCAAAAACGAAACTGTAACGATGCCTCAGCCTCCATATTCGCCAGATATGGCTCCATGTGACTTTTTTCTATTTCCAAAAATAAAGAGAACATTAAAAGGCCGTCGTTTTACAAGCATAGATGACATTAAAAGCGAATCGCTGAAAGAGCTAAAAGCTATTACAAAGATCGAGTTTCAAAAGTGTTTCGAGGATTGGAAAAAGCGTTGGCATAAGTGTATTGTATCCGAAGGGGACTACTTTGAAGGCGACAACATTAATGTAGATGAATAAATAAATATTTTTTTCATAAAACGAAAATTCTCGTTATTTTTTGAACACACCTCGTAGATTTAGTTAGCTATTCATCTTTGATTTTAAGAGGCTCTAAGAACCTCTTTCATTAAACTCTTTCATTAAATCAAAGAGGCTCTAAGAACATAAGAATATCGATTTCAGTTGTCAAATTTCTTGGAAAACTAAGTATAGTCATCTGTTTTCAAAAATAATTATTGATTTTAACGTTTTATAAAAGATCGTTTTAATCAGCTAATTTTAATATTCTTAAGTAATGTAAACACTTAAAATAATTCTACCTTAAAAGAATTAAGTCGCTGAAATAAACTATTGTAATTAGTTGGTACATGAAGAAGGCGAAAATTTAAATTGTATTAGCATTTTTATAGAATTAGGAGAGTCACATTTTATAAAATATTTGTCTGAGTTCGAAGTTTTATTTATTTTTGTAAGCCTATGGAAATCATAGAGAAGTTTGCCTATATGTACGAAAATTCTGCTCTATTATTTACCATTATATTTTAAATAATGGGCAGCTAATTCCAAACGTCCAAATTTCAATTAGTAGGGATTAGCGGTCATGAACGAAAGAATATCATGGCATAAGCCAACCGATATGCCAAGATCTTCTGCAACTTTTCTGATGGTGATTCTACGATTTTTTAACACAATTTCTTTGACTGCTCCAACGTTTTCATCTGTTGTTGATGTACTAGGATGTCCAGGGCGAGCTTCGTCTTCAAGATTCTTTCGGCCTTCTTGGAACAGCTTATACTACCTATACACATTTTTCTTACTCACTAGGGAACCACCCCAACCCTCCGCCTCCGATTTTTCTGCAATTGAGATATGTTATAGTTCGTAAAAATATAAAAGACCCGTACTTTTTTTTATCGACGGAAAAAGCTATCTAAGGGATGAAACCCACCCCCAAAATACGAGGTGTGTTCAAAAAATAACGAGAATTTTCGTTTTATGAAAAAAATATTTATTTATTCATCTACATTAATGTTGTCGCCTTCAAAGTAGTCCCCTTCGGATACAATACACTTATGCCAACGCTTTTTCCAATCCTCGAAACACTTTTGAAACTCGATCTTTGTAATAGCTTTTAGCTCTTTCAGCGATTCGCTTTTAATGTCATCTATGCTTGTAAAACGACGGCCTTTTAATGTTCTCTTTATTTTTGGAAATAGAAAAAAGTCACATGGAGCCATATCTGGCGAATATGGAGGCTGAGGCATCGTTACAGTTTCGTTTTTGGCAAAAAATTCACGAACAAGCAATGAAGTGTGAGCAGGCGCATTATCGTGGTGCAAAAGCCATGAATTGTTTTGCCACAAATCCGGGCGTTTTTTTCGGATTGCTTCACGCAAACGACGTTGAACTTGTAGGTAGTACTGCTTATTGATTGTTTGACCTTGTGGCAAGAATTCATAATGCACTATGCCATTAAAATCGAAGAACACAGTGAGCATAACCTTCACATTCGACCGTACTTGTCGAGCCTTTTTCGGTCTTGGCGATCCAGAATGCCTCCACTGGGACGATTGAGCCTTAGTTTCGACATCATATCCATGTTTCGTCACCTGTTATAACACGTTTTAGTAGTTCTGCATCGTTATTGACTTCATTTAGCGACTCCTGAGCAACTTCCATTCGCCGCTGTTTTTGTTCGAAATTCAACAATTTTGGAACGAATTTTGCTGCCACACGTTTCATACCCAAAACATTCGAAAAAATTTGATGGCATGAGCCAACTGATATGCCAACATCATCAGCGACTTCTCTGATTGTGATTCGGTGATCGTTCATAACCATTTCTTTCACTTTATTCACGTTTTCATCGGTTGTTGATGTGCTTGGGCGTCCGGGTCGTTCGTCATCTTCAACGTTTTCGTGGCCATCTTGGAAACGCTTATACCACTCATAAATCCTTGCTTTACTCATAGCAGACTCACTATATGCCTCTGTTAACATTTGACAAACTTTACTACACTTTATTTCATTTTTTACGCAAAATTTAATACAAATTCTTTGAAAACAAAAAATTTTTTATATCCAATTTTAGAGCCAACCCGTTGTGAAAACAATAATAATCAAACAATCATCTCAGGTTACACACGTGTGTTTCGTTGGTGAATATCCAACCTCATCAGATCTTTATTAAAAAACAAAACGAGAAAATGGTTACAATAACAGATATAAACCAAAAAACAAATAATAATCACGCTAAAAAAAACATTTACCTCAATTCGCAAGTCACAATCAAATTAAAAATCACAATAAAGTCAAAAATACACTGTCAAAATCATCCTATAACATTCGTTCGAATATTCAAAATTCAAATCGGACAACGACTAAGAAATACTGCAAATCAAAACAGTGTCTGTTGCCTTTTATACCAAAACAGATCACACAATCAGATGTATCCCCTCTCTTAAGCCATGAAAACAGTACATTAATCATCATTGTACATCAAAACAAACTTTAAAAATTTATTATAAATAAATGTGAGATCAGTCAGCTAAAACATCAAATAAACCTTTATATTGTTTACTCAGTAAACTAGTGTCTTCTTGTCTATTTATAGTGTTATAAGACAAATTAATATATATCATTTCCGAAATTAATCTCTTATAATAATTAGACTCTCTATCTAAAATTATTGTGTTGTCCCAGTCAAACGAGTGTGTAGGATAATTTTTTAAATGCATAGGAACAGGAAGAGATTTATCTAAAGGTGTCTTCCTATGTTCCTCTATGCGTTTTTTTAAACTTCTCTTAGTTTGACCAATATATACAGACGGGCAACTATCACAACAAAATTTGTATACTACATTTGTCTCATTCCACTTTTCTGTTACATCTTTACCCAGTTTTATTATATTGTCCAGCTTATGATTAATTAATGGTAAACAATGAACATTAAATTTTCTTAAACTATGGTTGCATAAGTTAAAAAATTTTTTGTGAAAAGGCAACGTTAAAACCATCGATTTAATATTCGTATTTTTTCTATCATCTTGAGTAGCAATACTATTCCAAAATCTATGTTTACGAATGCGATCTAATATACATGTTTTAACAAATTTTTTCGGGTAATCATTATTTTTTAAAATGCTCTCAACAATTTTTATATTATCTTTATGAAAGGTTGCATCAGATAGTAATAAAGATCTATCAATCAGATTATATACAATGTTTCTTT